ACTTGTAAGAACTGGTGGGTGTCCAGGAACACAAGAATAATATAAAATACGTCTTTTAACAGTACCCTTATGGACATGATTAATAGATAATTTTTCACAAATTGCATAAAATTCTCCAGACAAACTGTGATTGGAAACATTTTAGCACATGGAAAAAAATTATATTTTTGTATGGGATGAGTAACTCAAATCATCCTGAGGAATGTATTTTTGTACTATGCTGAATCTTACTTCGAGCCATAGAAAATGATCTTCGGTATTTGAAAAATCAAGGTTGTATTGACTCAGAGGCAGATGCAATCTCAGCTTTGCATAAAAATGGCCTCCCACCTCAAACAAACCGAGCAGCCTTTGTGCAGCATGTCAGCTTTTGTGGAAAATGCGCAAATGTATGCACACATATTCATTTTGGAAAGGAATTCATAGCCAACTAAGCATATCTACAGGAACATATATGAAACAGTATGCTGGCCAAGTTATTAATCTTATTCTGCTAGTAGGGGCTATTTGTGAAAAAAGAACTGGTATAATGCTCATTTTCAGAAATATACTGAACTGTCAGTCAGTCAATACTCTCACAGTATTTTAGAGAAGGTGAGCAACTCATATGCACTAATAAATTTCACTTGCTTGACACAGACCACCAAATGTCTGGACTTCTAGAGGCCTCCACAATGTAGTTGTAAAGACATGTGACTTTTCAAACATGGAAGCTCCTTAACTATTCTAGAACATTTTGCAACTCATTTTTTCTAAAACCCTATCATGCTTGTTTCTTCCACTAGCTTATTCTAAGGACTTTCATCCTACTCTTTGTAAAAAACTCTTGTAGGAAAAAGCAAAAAGATATACAGAATTCTTGCAATCCTGTTACAAGCTGCCATATTGACAATCACCACTTTAGACTAACCATACTTCAAAATGTATTTTTAAGTTACTTAAGAGAACTGTAGGCATTACCAGCCTCACTGCAGTGTTAAATGTTGGCTCCTGCAGGCTTTAAAAAAAAAGAGTCCCAGGATTACCTAATCTTCTTCATTTTGTACAGTTTGTGACAGTTTGGTAGTTCAGATTAGGTGTTGTTGAATCAGTCTTCCAAAATCCATTCTGAAAGGTGACCAGTATTTCAGCAGCACATTTGAGAACGAAACAAGGGCTATGATTTTATCTCGGTTTTTGCCTGCCATCTTCTGCTGTTGGGGAAGCGCTATCCAACAGTGCATTTGACAACTGCCAGAGCTGCAGTTTCATGTACCTTCAAAACCTCCCGCGAGAACTGTGGGTCTGGTGCCTGGCCATCACATTGCAGAGGACCTGAGCAGCCCTCTAGAGCTTTCTGTAGCTACTGAACTTGACAATATCAGTTTGAATTGGAGCTTTGCAGAAGTTGCTCTTAGATTTTTTTTTTCTTCTCAACTTTACCTCAAAATGAAATGTAGTTTGAGGTATATGATACCAATGTGTTCCAAATATTTTTGAAAAATTTTTTTTTCCTGTGAGGAAATGGAGAAACAGAAGCAAACAAAAATGGGAAAGGGGGACAGAGAAAGAATTGGGGAAGAAGAGAGTTTGCTATGATCAGAGGGATGAAGAGAATAGACATGAGGACCAGTGAAGGATAGAAACAGGTAATTTGTCAGAAAGAATCTGAGATGGAGTGCATGCCAGTCCCCCATTTCCCCTCTTCTGTGAATAGCAAAAGCCCCTTGCGAGTATCAACATCTTATTCTCATCTCCTCTCAAATCATCTGGAACCTAAGAGATCCTGAATGTCTGGGGGACTCCTCTCTCCCTGTGCCCCATTTTTCCCAGTACAGACAAGCCTCTTGGGAGATCTTTCTTTTTGAAGAGCCATTAACCCCAAGGTGGTTAAACACTGGGATCACGAAATTAATGTAATAGAAGCAAAAATCTCTTGCGCACAGAAAGAAAAAATAAAGGTACAGATAATGCATCCTCATGGTGGAAAGTCAACTACAGTAAGATGAAGAAAAAAGTCTAGGTTGGGTAGGACCAGCTAGGGAGGATGTAAAGAGGGGAACTATCAAACAGTAAGTATAGTGTAGACACAGTATTTTCTGTGACCACTGCACAGTAAAACTGTCTGCAGCTGGGAATAGACTGCTCATTTTTCCCCCCCACACAGTTAAAATATTTTAAATGGGATCATGAGATCCACTCCCACAAGACAGAAATCAGGACAGGTGCTTGGAAACCACACATTATTTTCCAGCTAGCCTCAATAGCATCAGCAGCAGTAACTGCAAATGTACAACTAATCATTAAGCTGTTACAAAGAACAAATACATTGCTAATAAAAATTTTCTAGGAAATTCAACAGCACAAAGCTTTACTCCTGCAGGATTGCAGGAGTTTCATGGTATTTGTTCTCCTTCTAGAACTTGAAGTTCAGGAAAATTGAAAAAAATTAAATAAATCTGCCAACAATAAAACTTCCAAAATAGAAAACACCAAGTGAAGGTCACACAACCTTTATTTTACCTTTCCAGCTAGTTATCCCTAGACACACATTTGTACCTTGTATTCAAAGTGTTGTGAACATTAGCCATCTACAGCCTTCCTGTAATCATATCAAAAGCTGCTTCTTGGGGAAAAAGCTCTCCCAGCTACTACACTCGATAACACTTTCACTCACACGTTTCACCAATTTCTGTGTTTTCATTATTCATCCTGAAACCCACATGTCACACTTATCTCCCACCTAACTGCCGGCAACTGCATCACAAGACCATTGCTTTGTCCTCTCACTGAAACTCTGTTGAGAAGCAGGGAAATCAAATACCATGCATCCATCAGCTGATCTTGTTGACCCAGATACAGATGGTAAAATAGACAGGATCCATATCTGCATTTAATACCAGGAGATATATAATCTCTTTTGGTCATTGCTAGCTCTCAGAAAACAAACGATTACAGCTGTTGAGAGCGTGCAGCTTAACTTCATTTTCTAGATCTTAAAAGTTTGAAGCAACTGTATTTATCTTTTAATTTTATTTCCTCCCCAACTCAACTTAATATTGTAACACTTAAAGCCTACACAATAGACTTGCTGTTCTGTCAATATTATAAAGTTCATCTTTGGAGAGTCTGTCTCATATAAAGCACAACAGTAAACAGAAAAATGAATAAAATGGTTTAATATAACATGGTTGTGTAACTCATGTGTTTTATCTTTAATACTGTCACCCTTTTTTATGCACAAGTACAGACTGCAGCATGTTGAGGGTGGGAGACCGTAAAGGGAGTGAAAAATTCGATCCTACTACTCAAATACCAGACACAGTATTTGGACAAAACCCAATTTCTTCTGAAGCTGTGACTGCTAGATCTGCTAAATCTCTTGCTGATTCCCAACAGATCAGATTACTTTTTTTAAAACTTCTTGGTAAAAGGCAAAAAATCTTATACAAACATGGAAAACTAGATAGTAGGCATACACAGCCTGACAATTTTTCTTCAGGAAAGAAAAAACAACAATACCAAACACAAAATCTGCCTTCATGTTTGTACTTCTGTTGCTCCTATAGGAGTTGAACATGACAAAATTGAATACCAGGAGGGGCTGCATGCATGTGAGACAGAAAGCAGAATGTTGAAAAATTCAAAGTTTGGGTAGCACATAATTAAAGCTATCAGTTCTGTTTCAGTCTCCTGCTGAGGCCTTACCAGAAGCAGCTTATCTGATCAACTATGTGCAAAATGCAAAAAAGCACTTGGATCAGGAAACCTGTAATTAGAACAATTATGAAGCAAATACATCCCACAGATTATATTCATGTATATTTAAAATTGTCAGATTGAAATGAGTCCTTTTCTGCCACCATCACGTTCGCCTCATACTCCATTTCCCCCTGATGACAAAAACCATGATAGCAATCACAAAACTCAGTCTGAAATGAAGCAGTTCACTGCACAGGAACAAACTTATGGTACTGATTGGCCAACAGCTAGAACATAAAGTCTCGAAAATGAATGAATGCAATAAGGAAATACTGGAGCAATTTAGATGACAGAGGAGGTTAATAAAACATAAGATACTGAAACTGTATATGATACATAGAAAACAGATCGGGAATTAGAGAAAAACATCGCTTTGCCTTTTCTGCATTTCTTTTGACAATTCTAAAACTAGTCACACATAATTCTTTTCCTGAAATGTCCTGCTTTGAATTTCTCTATTTACCACAAACTCACAGTACAAAAGGGTGATTTAATGAAAACTCACATGCTTAATATATATAAAGAAGCACTTAATACAATGCACATTTCAATCCCAAATCTGATTTATTACTAGAGAACATCATAAAGTTAATTATCCATAAGATACATGAATCACATGTATCACAATTCTAGACATATCTGCTGAACTTTTCAGAAGTCACTAAATGATTTTTTTTAAATGTATGTGTTGTGGTTTCCATACCACTTCTGATACTTTCAGTCATTACCTTTTCTAGCAAGCATGCCAGTTTATGTCCAGCACTTCTCCACAAACTCTTTCCTATTTTGGACATTTTAAATATCTTTTCAGAGATTCTTTTTGTCTAACATGGCACAGTATTAAGTGGAATTAAACTTGGACGATCCACAGCAAAACCCATACTCAAGAAGTGTGTCCTGAACAGACCAATGTAAACCTTTAAGTCTTCAGGAAATTCAGCTTCAATCATATTTGAATATAGTCATACATTCATATGTTCAGGTATGAAGAGGCACAGCACGTGCTCTAGTAAGAGTTTTGCCTATGATAGGACAGAGAGGTCTGCATCATCCCACCAGACAAAATCAGAGGGAGGTACAAGTCCCACGCCAGCCTTCATTCCCTCCCTACTGTAAATCCACCCCAAAAGCAAGACCAGTTCCGATCCTGTATAAATGTGAAGACCATGATAATACTGAAGTCATCCATCCCTAGTAAGGCAATAATAAAAGCATCAAAGTCGGATATCACATATCCATTCGTAATGAAACACTCCTACCTTTTCAGCTTCATATAATTTTCACTAGCTGCAGGTCTGCATTCAGCACGTTGCACCACTATTCCTTCCAAGGCAAGTTTATCTAAAATGAAAAAAAACAAGCAAAACCGGACATTAAAATGAGTGACACCAACATGGTCAAAATTTGAATTATTTTTCACTAAGTAAGAATTTACTAAATAAAATGTAATTATAAGTTCTCAAATAAAGTTCTAAAATATCTGATATTTAGACACCAAAGAAATAAGCAGGAAAAACATGTTTGCACAGTTGGTATACTCTAGACTTCCTTATTTTGCCTTCAGATGTTTTATATATTAAGAATGAAACACAAAGATCAAATTTGAAGAAGTGGCAACTCCTTTCTCTAGATGTTGCACTCTGATTATCTAGGAACTGCTTTCTGGAAATGTGCAATGAATATAGTCAGTGACTATAAAAACATAATGTACAAAGAGAATCAATTATCAAGTATCCAAAATTAGTGGACAGTAAAATGAAAGTTAATTTTATTCCTATCCTCAGGAAAAGAGTAACACATTTTCATCTTATTACAATATAAAAAAAAATTCACTAAAGGAACAACATATGCTAACACTCAGGAAAAAGAAATAAAAACTTTCAGTTAATAACCTAGGACATCACGTACATGTATTTTAGCTAATACTTGTCTCCGTACAGTCACCTCCGTGACAGTCGCTGTTATCCAACGAGACCACCTTTTTGCCTGAAGTGATGATGACTAACAGAGCAGTAACAGCCCAAAAATTAAAAGCAACTTGATGTAGAAAGGAAGAGAGAAGTGATGGTGGGCAAACACCTGCATCTCTACTGCAATGTTCTAATGCACAATGATGGGGGGGAGGGGAGAGCCTGTCAATTTGTTCCTCTCTTTTGGACATCGCCAGTACAATATGTGTAAAACAAACACCCCTGGAACAGCCCTGCCATACAACAAACAATGGGCTTTAATGGCTTCATTAGCTCTCACTCTTTAAAATGTCTTTCCAACAGAGAGTCTTGTCTTGCTGTTGGGGTAGGGCACCACATTGCCATTGTCACTTTCAGTTGTCACCACAAAAGATAACAGAAATGCTTAGATGTACTGATGCCAAGTAACACAAGGCACTCTGAGACGCCTCTGATTTTTCTATTACCTTATAGACTGAAATATTACTACATCTGCAAATCTAAGTCTGCTCTCCCTGAATAACGCAGAGAGCAATTACTCCAACATCATGTATTTTAAAATGATTTAATCTAAAATTTCTTGGTAATCCTTGAAGGGAATAAGAATGCCATATTTTTTTCAGATAGTTTTGAATGAAAGAAAGAAAATTTGTATTAAAACACTTCTGGTTTTGCAGATTCTTAGGTTTATGGTCAGGAGAGACAACTTGGCAAATTTGCCTGACTTACTATGTATTATAGATAGAAAAATTTTATTGTCTTTCTTCTCTTGTGGCTAGTCGTACTAATATTGCTGCTTAATTTCTAATAAGAATTTGACTCCAGCTTCTAGCAGTTGGTTCTTCTTATGACTCTCTATACAATCATAAAGAGCCTTTCAGTACCTGGTGTTTTCTCCCTTTGAAAGTACTTATACACAGTAATCAAATCATTTCTCAACCATCTTTTCAATAAATGAAGTAATTTAAGCCCATGCATTATCTCATCACAAGGCATTTATGGTACACTTAAATCAATTTTGGGTTTCTTTTCTGCATCTTGTTCAATCTTGAAATAAAGTTGAATACAGAGACCAGAAACCAGATATAATACTATTGTACTGATCTTGCAAAAAAACATATATGGAGGTTAAATAACAGATACAGGAGCTGGAATTTCTCTCACCTCACTTCAGCCATCTCAATTCAATCTCTGAATTCAGCTGAGAGAGGGAGGAAGGGAGACCGCTGAAAGAAAATTGGTCCCACTTCTTTTAGAATTCAGTGATCTGCCTTGTGTTGGATTTTTTTTGTTGTGGTTTTTTGGGGTTTGGTTTTGAGGGGGTGGGGCAGGACTGTGGTGTCTGTGTCCCATGACCACTTCATGTTTAGATGGCTAAACTGTGTTAAGATCAGTTTGTCTCTAAAAATCAAGATCTGAGGGTTTACGGAGCTGACTGGCTATTATATTACTAACACAACTACTTTGAGTATTTTCTAACCTCACATTTTATCTATGTGCTCTGCATTCCCAGTTCCTAGGGGTATAATTGCCTTTGGCAGACTCTGTGAATTAAGCGATCCCAGTCACACCGTGACAGTCCTGTCACAGCTATTCACTGCCTGACCACCATTTGTGTCAATCATGACATTTTATAAGCGGTGATTCTCACTTACCACTATTATCCTCCTCGCTAATCCTGGAGGAAGCCCTTCAAACTACAACCCCTGTGGCTTCCTATTCATAATTACTTTCTGATAACTGTCAGTTTTTCATCTTATTCTGTGTTTGCTGATTTTTTTTATACATAAATCAGAATGTCACAAGACTCTATGTGCAATATGAAAAGCTAAGCAGGCTGCAAACATGCTGTTACTTTAAACTCACAATCTTCAAAATAAACAAATAAACAAAATTAGGTTTGTTTGACCAGAAAACCCTTGCATAAAGCCACGTTTGCTAGCATTTGCGTTATTTCCAATCTTATCTACCTCTTGAACTCCATAACAATTTTTCCACTAGTTTCTCTGGCACAGGTTCAAGGCTTGCTAACCTATATTCATCTGAGCCATCCAGTCCAGCTGCCTGAACACTGACATGTCACCATCAATCTCCCTGCACCTTGCAGAATTTTCAAATTATTTTTAAGTTTTAAGGATTAGGATAGGTAAAGCAGAGAGCTCCCCCATACCAACTATTTAGGAAATGAATCTGCCAATTAAGCATGTTTATTCTCAGTATTATCATAGAATCACAAAATGGTTTGGGTTGGAAGGGACCTTAACAATCACTTAGTTCCGACCCCAATGCCATGGGCAGGGACACCCTCCACTAGACCAGGTTGCTCAAAGCCACATCCAACCTGGCCTTGAACACTGTCAGGGATGTGGCATCCACGACTTCTCTGGATATCTCCTCTTCGATGTCTTGGCTAATACCCTCTTTTAATTACCACTGATCCAGATTGACTTCTGCAGTCGAATCCAGACCAAATGTTCCAATGGCCTCACAGTACGAGGCTGTCCACAGTTTCCAAGAACACTGCCTTGCAGTTAAGTTTGTCTGATGTCTAAGCTCAACCACTGTCCAAAAGCCAAGGTTTATGTCCCATTTTCCCTGGACCCTCTTAAGGATTTTAACATACCCAGAGAGTCTAGCAGAATAAATCTGCAAAGACACATGCAAACCTCTTGATACAAGATTGTAGTGGGGGAATACAGTTTTTACTATCTTTGCAGCCCACTCAGCCTTCATTCACCAAACTCAAATTCAGAGACTTGAGTCTGTGTTCTCCTGTTGCAGGACCACAGCTGCACTGGAAAACATCCAAAGTGCTACACATCTGCCTTGGTATTTCCATAGTCACATCAGCCTAGAAGGTAACGGATGAATAAGGCACGAAAGTGGCAATTCCCTGTTAAAAATACCTACTCAAATTAATGCAGATAGTACAAGATAAATAAATAGGTCTGGAAGACTAGCTAAGATCAGTGATGAGAAGGGAAAATACAACATTTTCCCAAGTGTCTTATGCTCTCAGTTGCCCTAAATGGGATGGCAGGTACAAATACACAGTCAGTGCAGCTTCCAACAGGCTGATCTACGTGACCCATAGCTTCATCGTTAGCTGCCAACTGCACGCTCACCCTGACATCCCTGCCCAAATGCCTTGGTGCTAAGTCATAAAGTAATTTCAACTGTTGTCTCAGTGAGACGATCAAGAGATATGCTGGGGAGATGCTGATTCCAGCTTCAAGTCCTGCTGACAATCATTATCAAATGAACAGAATGCAGTAAAAGCATTTAAGGCAATTTTCACAAACAGGCATGAAAGAAATTTACTGAAATTGTGCAGAATATGGTCTGATACGATGGATTAGATTGTTGGAGTTTTTAGAGAGAGATGGGTTGACTTGGAGATTTTAATGTATCAGTCTTCTATTTGACTGCACTCAGCTCCAATTTCCAGCCACTGTGTCTTATTAGACCATTGACTGCTAGGTTGAAGAGCCTGCTAGGAAAGCATTTCTGCCTATCCATGCACTTATGTACTCTTCACCTTTATCAAGCCTAATAAAAATAAATCATGTTTCCTTGAATCTTCCATTATGCCAATTTTTCAGCTTCTTAATCATTCTTATTGGCCTGAAAAAGTTCAGTTCATGAATGTCTCTCCTGAGACTTTGTCTATCACAGCCAGACTTGACAGCATGTGGGACAGGATCTGGTCCTTTACCAACTCCTTCACTTTGTGGGCAGTGCCAAGGAAGAAGGAGATGAATACCTTACTCAGTATGCATGGTTCTCAGGCAGCGGTAAAAAGCAGATGAAAGTACAGCAAGGACAGGCTATGGGCACATGTGCTTCCAGCTCCTCGACTGGTAGAAGCTGGGCTGTTGCTTCCCAGCTGTCATGGCTTAACCCCAGTCAGCAACCAAGCCCCACAGACTGAGCATGAGCCTGCTCATTTCTAGCTGAACACCACTAAGTGATAAATTCAATCTAGCACATTCCCATCAAATTTGTCATTGTCTCAAACCCTTTGAGCCTCACATTAGGCAGCAAAAAGGACTGTCATGGTTTAACCCCAGCTAGCAACCAAGCCCCACACAGCCACTCACTCACTCCCCCCCACCAGCAGGATTAGAGACAGAATCAGAAGGGTAAAAGACAGGAAACTTGTGGGTTGATGTAAAGACAGTTTCATAAGGAAAACAAAAGCTACACATAAAAGCAAAGTGAAACAAGGAACTAATTTGCTGCTTCCCACGTGCAGGCAGGTGTTCAGCCATCCCCAGGAGAGCAGGGCCCCATCACACACAACAGTTACTTGGCAAGATAAACATCATCACTCCAAACATTCCCCCTTTCCTCCTTCTTTCCCATAGTTTACATATATAAGTGTGATGTCAT